GTGGGTGTTGCCTTCTGACACACTTCCGGTGATGTCAGGGGGTGTAGCCTATGCACACGAGTAATGCTCATGAGTTAGGCTAATGAGCTCCTGCACCTCTTTTTCTACGAAATGACCCCTGATCATACCATTACCGATAGATAAGAATCTCCACATTAGTAAAGGAAGAGAGGCAGGACCTGAACTGGCTCCAGCTCTTCCCGTTGTTCTTTTGTTTCTCCTTTCCAGGAGTTTGCTTGCAATGTGAATACTGCCGAAGTAACACTGACTCCTGCCACGGTGTCCCGCACGTATGTGCACCGCATGAAACAGAATGCATCACCCTGACTGTGGAAGTCAGGAAAGGTGAGTGGTCGTGGCACTTGTGGGGGAGGGGCCTGAATCACAGAAGCTTCAGGCAGTAAAGGGGATCGATCCTCCACCAATCTACTCCCTCCCAGTCACCAGCAGGGGGTGGCGGGGGGGTAGAATTAGGGTTGCCAGGTCTTACATAGCTGCTGGCTGGGGGAGGGGTCCTTCTCCCCATCTGGGGTATACCCAGAAGTGATGTCATCATGCAGGGCATGTTGTGGGCGGGGCCTCTTATCATTTGAGGAAGAAAACATTGAGTTTTCCCTCAAACGATAGAGCGTCCTCCCACATTGCGCCAGGCATGTTGGTGTGAATGCAGCATTCTGGGGGCGGAGTCCCCCCCACTGGCCAGATCTGGGCTGGTGGATCAGGGGCCCCTGAGAGTGAGCAAATCCCCTGCCCCTGGCAGGGGAATGGCAAGCCTAGGCAGGATTGCCAGATCCAGATTGGGGAAATCATGGAGATCTGGAGGTGGAGCCTGCGGAGGACAGGGGCCTCAGGGGGGTACAAGGCCATAGAGTCCACCCTCCAAAGCATCCATTTTCTCAAGGGGGAACTGATCTCTGTAATCTGGAAATGAACTATAAGTTTGGCAGATCCTCAAGTCCCACCTGGAGGCTGGCATCCCTATACGCTCTCTCTGTCTCTCTCTCTCTATGTCTCTCTCTCTGTGTGTCTCTCTCTCTCATTTATCGATCATCTATGTATCATTTATCTATGTATCATCTGTCATCTATCTATCATCTATCTCTCATTAGGAAGAGGTACACTATGAATTCATATTCATTTTAGGACAGTTTTAACTATTGACTTCTCTCAAAGATTCTTAGGCTTGCTTGCAATGCTTTAGAGACTTTTTTTTTTGCCTCTCTACCCACTGAACGACACTTCCCAGGATTCCCTTGGGAGCAGAGTTCCCTCTAAGCTGAGTTAGTGTGAGCTAGCCCACAGTTCTTTAGCCTCCGGCTCACACATTTTTGTCTTAGCTCAGGAAGGATGGCTCCAGAGCAAACTAATTTATGCAGTAGCCTAATTGCTTGCTCACAACTTTAATGCCAGTCGCTCACAAAGCAGAATTTTTGCTCACAAGACTCCACAGCTTAGAGAGAGCATTGCTTGGGAGAGGAAAAATTCAAATCTGTGGTCCAGATGTGTCCTTAAAACTTAAAGCCTGCTGTTGTCAGGCCGATTTCACACAAGCGCTACTCCGCGCTCACTCTTCCCTTTTGCCCCCATGGTACGTGTCAATTTCACACAAGCTGCTGCGTGGCTGCCTTTTGCCCCGGAGCTTCGCGCGATTTCCCCTGCATCTACTCAATCCTCAAACAACAGGATTGAGTAGACAGGGGGGAAATCACACAAAGCTGTACAGCAGCTTGTGTGAAATTGACACGTACCACCGGCGCAAAAGGGGAGAGCGAGCGTGGAGCAGCGCTTGCGGGAAATCGGTTTCAGTGTACTAATCTAGAAGACCATCTCACTGAAATTGATAGGTCTGTGTCTCAATGAAATACAGTTAGGATAGGGCCACTCACATGACTGAGCTCTGCTCCACCTCTGAACCTCTCAGTCAACCTAACTCCATGGATTCTGCCTGGAACTGTTGTAGAAAGACTGAAATACTAGTGTAAACCACCTCCATATCCTCCAACTGACCCTGTTTTGGCAGCCCATGTTTTCTGTCCCTGGTATACTTTCGTCCGTATTCTAAATTATACGCCCAAGTGGGATGATTATTTAGAGTGTTGTAATAGGACTGGGAGAACTGGGTTCAAATCCTGCTGAGCTTATTGAGTAGGTCTACCGGGCCATCTGCACCCAAATATAGCACCCAGGCTGATGGGGTGAGGCCTGGTGCTATTAAAAACATAAGAAGAGCTCTGCTGGATCAGACCAGTGATTCATCTAGTCCAGCATCCTGTCTCATACGGTGGCCACCCTGTTCCTTGGGCCGGGCCAATATCAGGGCATAGAGGCCAAGGTCTTTCCATGATGTTGCCTCCTAGCACTGGGATTCAGAGGCTGACTGCCACTGAATGTGGAAGTTTCCAGCCCAACTCTGGCAACTCTTGGGAGTTGCAAGGGGGTGGGGTCCTGTGATTGGCATCCTGCCACAAAGGGTGACATTACTTCCAGAATGAACCCAGAAGTAATATCACCACATCAGGGCAATGCCCAAGGATCCATCTGAAACGCTAGGTTTCCCCCCCTCCCGTAGTGTTATGGGTGAATCGTAGAGCATTGCACCAGAAGTGACATCACAGTGTTGAAATGACACCAATTTTCTCCCCCAATTTTTCTCTCACTGCTCCACTGAGCAGTGATGGGAGTAGCAGGGTTGTAGACTGGAAGGGGGGCAGTTCAGTGTTTAGCATGCAGAAGGTCAAGCCCTGGTATTCTCCCAGTCAAAGAATCTCATGTGGCAGGACTGGGGAAGATGCTTGGTGAGCTGCTGCTACTGATGAATAGGGATGGGCACAAACTGAATTTTTGCGGTTCGGTTTGTGGTTCATGGGTGAACCACGAACCGATTGGCTGGTTTGCAAACCAAACCGATTCGTATCGGTTGGTGAGCCATTTGAAGTTTAAATCCCCTCTTTCTGCTCTCTGTGAAAGGCTGAGGGGAGGAGAAAGAAGGGCTTTACACGGCTTGGAGTAATTTAAACCACTGCTTTCTGCTCCCTGCAGAAAGCTGCAGCCAGTAGAAAGCAGGGGGTGTAATGCCTCCCATCCATTTCACCCCTTGCTTTTTGCTCACCGCCAAAAGCTGTGGCAAACAGAAAGCTGGGGGTGAGATGGCTTGGAGCCATTTAAAACACTGCTTTCTCCTTTTCACGGACCATCATGAACTGCCACGAACTGCATCAAAATTCATGGGAGTTTGTGGTGGCTCTTCAGTTCACGAACATTGCTTTGTGAACCACGAAGCTGCTCAAAATTCGCGACGAACTTTAGTTTGTCAGCCGGTTCGTGACCATCCCTACCGATGGACCAGTCGTCGGACTCAATGAAAGGCAGCCTTGATATTTATGCTACGCAGATGAGAGGCACTCTTCTTCCTGCTGTTCCTTTTATGCCTAGTTCCAGGGACGGAAGTGACCCTGGCCACCTATAAAGGCTGCACCAGACCCAGTTACTGCACTCCCTCCCCCATGAGCATCAGATTTCCTTCCTACCATAAACGGAGAGTCAACAAGTGCTGCCGGAAAGACCTCTGCAACTCGGGAGCCGTGGAATGTAAGTGGGGATGGGCGCATGCTCTCCTTGGCATGCCGAAGGTCCCAGGCTCAATCCCCGACAACTCCACTTAAGATTTGGTAGGACGTGGTATGAAAGACCTGAATCTGAGACCCTGGGGAGCTGCCGCCGGTCTGAATAGATAACACTGACAGCGGTGGACCCATGGTCTGTTTCAGGATAATGCAGCTCCAGGAGTTCATACATGTCCAAGTTCATCCTCCCACGTTTTTCTAGCCCCTTCCCCAGCTCACGCTCTAAATATGCATCCACAAATCATTGGCTATTGCACTGTCCTTGCGCTACAGCAACTGTTCACTTCCTTAATGGCCTCATCTGCACAAGAAAGGTTGTGAGCAAAGGCTATTGAGAAAAAAAATAGCGTAATAGTTGGTGGCATGGGATATCAGCTGGTGGCCTGCTTGCTCTACCCATTGGCAAACCCAGTGGCACAGCAAACTGGGATCTAAGCTTTTCACGATCACCACAGCAACGGTGACTTCGGGGAACTGTGAGAGTTGAAGAATGCCTCCTCAACGTGGGGTAGCCATGGGAAACTCCATGGAGCAGGGGTCCCCAGCACAGTGCCCTGGGGTGCCATGGGGCTCACTGATGCCTTTACTGGTGTCAGCCAAGTGTTCTGAGAAAGTTAATGTGGTCAGGTGTGGCTTTTGCCCAGCAGGGCTTCTGATTGGTCATTGGAGATTTGATGGGCCATGCAGATTTTTTAAAAAACATTGCTTTGGCAGCCACTGCCACCACATCACGGGGATCTTCAATTTGTGGCTGCAAGTAAGCTGTGGCAACCATTTTGTGGCTGGCTCCGCCTCCCGTGGCAGCCATTTTGTTACAGCCATTTTGTGCCTTGCCCAGAATACTTTGGCTGCATTCTGAAGGTGCCACTAGATTCAAAAAGCCTGAGAGCCCCAGCCATGGAAGAGTCAGTCCATGAACCAGAATTCTGCGTGTGGAAGAGTCCCCAGGGACAACTGACGGACATTGCCTGAAGCTTTAATTTCCTCCTCCCTCAGATCACCCAAAGTAATATTCAAGGAAAATGTGATAGTTCCTCATCGAAGAAATGTCTGTGGAATTTTGCGAGGAATAGTGGAAGTGCCCTTCAGTTCGGGACCGGAGCAATGCTAGTGATTCTGGGGAACCAGAGTGGGACCCCAGAAGCATTATAACCCCCCATCTCCCCTCCTCCAGGGCCAAGCAAGGGGTGGCCCCTATCCTGCACAAGGTGGGTGGGAGTCACCACTGCTGCTTGAAGCAAGCTACACAAAGTCCAGATGGGTAGGAGCAAGTGGTGATAGGATCCTGCTTATCTTCTCCCTCCCCCCTTTCAGGGGGCAGGGTCACGGACAGTTGCCCTCCCAAAGTGCGGGGCCCGGGGAGACTGGCCTATTGCCCATTAGCTAAGACTGCCCCCCGGCTCGGGATCACAAAACTCCGAGTAGGGTTGGGGATGGGGAAAGCTCTTCTCGGTCTCTCTGCTTCTTCCCAGTCCCGCCCCTACGGCTCAACCTGAACGGAATGCAGTGTCCCGGATGCTTCTCATCGGATCCGAAATGCCCAACCACCGAGATCATAAACTGTCGAGGATGGGAGGTCTTTTGTGTCTTCTACGAAGTTTGGGCCGATGAGGGTGAGACCTGTGGATTGTGTTGACACTGTAGAGGAGGAAACGGGCAGTGATGGCCATGAAAAGCTGATCCAAGACACGATAGAAGTGATGATCAAGTCCACCCCCCCACCCGAAATAAGCCGAATTCATACCAGAAGGAATCCTTGTTCCGCTTTCGCTTATTTAGTTATTTGTAATGCACTTTTCTTCCCAATGGGAACCTAAAGTGGCTTACAACATTGTTCTCCTTGGCTAGCCCAATCTCATCAAATCTCAGAAGCTAAGCAGGGTCAATCGCAGCTAGTACTTGGAAGGGCGATCTCCAAGGAATACCAGGGCTGTAACTCAGAGGCAGGCAATGGCAAACCACCTCTGAAATGTCTCTTCCCTAAAATAACCCAAAAACCTAGTCTAGCTTGCTACCTAGTGGTGCACAGCGCTCAAAGATCTAGAACTTCTGGCTGCCAGACAATTTTAGGATCTCCTGGCTATGCTATACACAGTGCTGTATGATAATTATTAAATTATTATTCTCCCCCCCTGCATTTATCTTCATAATGACCCTGTGAAGTACGTTAGACTGAGAGAGAGAGTAACCCACGGTGAGTTTCCAGTGGCAGAGTGGGCCTTGGAACCGAGTTCTCCGAGATCCTGCACTTTCACACACGCTAAATAATGCCCTTTCAGTCCACTTTCAATGCACTTTGCGACTGGATTTTACTGTGTGCAATGGCAAGAGCCACTTGCAAATGATTGCTGAAGTGGATTGAAGCGGCCTTATCTAGCATGTGTGAAAGTGCTCCAACACTCTGACCGCTACACCTCAATGTCTGTCAGAACACTTAGGCTTCCAAAACTCTTTCCTTATAAGGAATTAATAACGAGACATTCAGGCTTTTGCACCCGGAAGGGAGGCATTCATTGGACTAAATGGCCAGGAGTTGACTACTTTAACCTTTTATTCAGGGTTGCAGATCTTCAGGT